GGGCTGGTGAGTCAGCGAACCAAAATGCAGAAAAATGGTCTTCTTCTGTAACTTACAAAGAAGGGGTTGTCCTCAGAGTCCCCTGATGGAAAAATTGGTGGGATCGTAGGGATGAATAAGGAACTATCAGCTCCTGCCTGGATGCTCCAACCTAAAAGCAGGGACTTGTCTGTATTTAAATGGGCGGTGCCAAGTGGCATTACAAGTCTGTCCTGAGAAAAATGGGGACAAAGCACTTTGTTATTAACCTACCCACAGGACTGTGCTCAGCTGTCTCACAAACTGTAACAATACCCAGGCCGTCTTAAAAGGCATTGCAAATCTTGACCCAGAGTGTTTTCTAGATTTAAACAAAAAGTCTGATAAATGCTCCCTGTAGCAGGTCAGACCTTTCTGGCTTCTAAGACAAATGCAATTAAATGTTGGGTTTTAGAGGAAGACATTTCCATGAAACTAGACAGGGATTTTCATAGCCAGGTGACCCTCACGCATCAGTTAAGAGTTAACGGTTCACTGAATTATTTGGCAAATATTTATTTGGTGCTGAAACAGTCCAGGCATTGTTTCGAAGCACTGAGACTGTTGTGGTGAACAAGACGAAGTCCTTTTCCTCATCAAGTTTAGATTTTAGAGCAAGATGCTGGTAAGACACAGTAGACAAACAAATATAACTGTGCAGTTTCTTATTGAGATATTTGCTATGTTGTTGTTATGTGCCGTGTAGTCACCTGCTAGCGACCCTATGTACAATAGCCCTAAACCCTGCTCTATCCCTAGCCAATCTCACTGTCTCCGACATTCCTATCCCCATTACCCCAGTGATGAAATTAGGGAGATAAAAAAAAAAAACAAAAAACAAACACACACAACACCAAGTCCTTAGAAAAGTTCTCAGTTATCTCTTGCTGTATAACAAACTCTCTAGATTTGGAGTGGCTTAAAACAATGGCTTGGGATATTCATTATTCTGTGGGTCAGAATTTTTTTAGGAAGGCTCAACTTTGGTTTTCTTTTGTTTTTTCCTGGACAACGTTGTATCAACTGAAATCAGTCACTTGGTCCCATTCAGTTGGTGTTGGACTGGACTGAAAGGTACAAGGATTCATTTGTATGTTAATGAATTCACAGGCAGAATGCTTTGGTGCTAACTCTTCCAGGAGGCCCCTCTCTTCCTTTACACCATATCTCACCATTTCCAAGTTCCGTTTAAAGCCCTAAGGTGTTTGACTGTGTGGATCACAAAAAACTGTGGCTAACTCTGAGAAGAATGGGAATCCCAGAACACTTAATCATGCTAATGTGAAACCGATGCTTGGACCAGGAGGCAGTCATCAGAACAGAGCAAGAACACACTGCATGGTTCATAATTGGGAAGCGTGTATGCCAGGGATGTGTCCTATGTCCATACCTTCTTAGTAGATATGCAGAACGGATTATCTGCGAGGCTGGGCTGTATGAGGAGAAGTGTGGCATCAGGATTGGAGGAAGACTCGTCAACAATCTGCATTATGCAGATGACACAACCCTGCTTTGCTGACACAGAAGAGGACCTGAAGCGCTTGCCACAGAAGGTCAAGGTCTGCAGTCTTCAATATGGATTGAGGCTCAATATCAAGAAAACAAAGATTCTCACCACTGGGCCAATTGGCAGCATCATGCTAGATGGTGAAATGATTGAGATTATTAACAGCTTTAGTTTGCTTGGCTCCCACAATCAACACTCTTGACACCAGCATCCAGGAAATTAAAAGACGTATTGTGATGGGAAAGTCTGCTGTCAGAGACCTCTCCAAAGTACTGAAGAGCAATGATATCTCTCTAGAGACTAAGGTGTGCCTGATACAGGCTATGGTCTTTGAAATAACTTGCTATGTGTCAGAGAGCTAGACAATTACTAGGGATGATAGAAGGAGAATTGAGGCCTTTGAGCTGTGATGCTGGAGAAGAGTATTGAATATACCAGGGACTAAGAAAACTAACAGATTCATCCTGCAGAGAGTTAAATCAGGCTGTTCCTTGGAGGCAAAGATTCTGAGGTTTCACCTGACATGCTTTGGACATGTTGCAAGGAGGAACCAGTCCTTGGAGAGGGACATCATGCTTGGGAGGATGGAGGGACAGTGCAGGAGGAGAAGACTCTCTATAGATGGATTGATTCAGTGCCTGGGGTAACGGGGATAGGTGTGTCAGAGACAGTGAGATTGGCACAAGATAGCTCAGGATTTAGGGCTGTTGGACATAGGGTCAATATGAGTCACAGGCAACTTGACAGCACAAAGCAACAACAGTTTGGTTACTGGTCTCTCCATAGAAAACCAAAATGGTGACTGTCGGGCCTCTTGACAGAAAGTCCTGGAGCCAATCCAGTCTTTTCTGCTGCCTTCCAATTACTCAAAGAAGATCACAAGACCAGTCCAGACTCGAGGGTAGTAAAAGAGATTTTACCTTCCAATCAGAGAAGCTGAAGGCAGTCACCATGGAAAACTGTCTATCCCAGAAATGCACTGGAGTAGGGGCTAAGAGCCTCATTGTTGTCATTGTTGTTGCTATTGTTGTTGTTGTTATGTGCATTGAGTCACCTGTGACCCTATAGACAGCAGCTCTGAAGCCTGTCCTGTCCTGAGGCAGTCTTACTGATTCTGACAAACCAACCCTCATTGTCCCAGTTACTGTATCAATCCCTCTCATCCGGGTCTTCCTTTGCTATGCTGTGCCTCCACCTTTCCAAGTAAGATGTTGTCCAAGGACCAGTCTCTCCTGGCCATGTGCCCAAAGTATATGAGACGAAGCTTCAGAATCCTGGCTTCCAAGGAGAAACTTGTTTTCACCCTCTCCAAGGCAGACCTCTTTGTTTTCTTGGTGGTCCATGGTATGCTCAAGGCTCTTCTCCAAATTATGGTACATTCACACAATGGAGTACTATGCAGCACGCAGGGGTATTTTGTAAATCACTACCTAACTTGGGAGGCACTGGAGGGCATTATGCTGAGTGAACTAACTCAGTCTCAAAAGGACAAATACCATATAAAACCATTATTGTAGAATGAGTATGAGGATCCAAAGGGGGGTGAAGGGATAGAAGCAGAGGGGTGTGGATGTGGGGGGGGGAAGGGGATTGACCATGAAGTCATACAATTTGATGGATGAGGGAAATGGAAAAGATATGGTGTGAAAAACAACGTATTGGAATTTTGTAAATAAACAAATATAATTTTCTTTTTTTAGGAGTGAATCTACTGAGTTTATTTGAAGTAAGGGCACATCAAGTTCACATTGTACACACATGTGTAAGAGCACACATGAGCACCTTAGTCCTCTATATCTGCCTGAGCTCTGTGTCAGCAAGACATGCTCTGGAATCTTACTGATAAGGGCTTGAGCAGATGTTATTACTCAGAATAATAATTACAGCTCTTCAGTCAGAAGACACAAAGCCAGCATAAGTTCACTCTAAGAGCTCAGCTTAAATTTCAAGTTCAAAAACAAGTGTAGATTCTCCCTTTTCAATCCATGACAAGAGCTAGAGAAACAACAGGTGAAATTCTACAGGTGATTCCAAAAGCTCAATATTTGCCACTGCACAGACACAGACAAGGGCTAAGAGAGTCTGGCTATGAAGAGGACTTCCTTCTCCAATGGGATCTCTGATGTCTGTCAAAACTTCAGCTCCTGCTGAAATTTTTTCCCAAAGCAAGGAGAATAATGAAGTTTGTGTGTAACATGGATGCTCTGATGTCTAAGAAAGTTGGACTTATGTAATTCTTTTCCTAGATGGAACATATATAGTATTTCTCTGTGTGGCCTGAGTGATGTATAAAAATGCTTAAGGTGTCAATGAAGTTTTTCTCGGAGATGACATTCGTAGGGTTTCTCGCCTGTGTGCATCTGCTATTGTCTATTAAAATCATGACCCTGATTAACTGTTTTCAAAGACAGAACACAGTGTTTCTACTTTGTGGACTTGCAGATGTCTATTTAATTTGGACCTCTCAAGGAAACTCTTTCAGAGAGGAGATTCATGGCATTTCTCCCCCGTGTGGACTTGCTGGTGTCTATTTAAGAAGGACCTGTCGTCAAACCTCTTTTCATAGACAGAACATTTATTTGGTTTTTCCCATGTGAACTGACTGGTGTCTGGTAAAGTGCCTTGCCTGAGTGAAACTTTTTTCACAGAGAAGACAAGTAAAGGGCTTCTCTCCTGTGTGGACCCACTTGTGCATATTTAAGACAGATCTGTGCCCAAAACTCTTTTCACAGAAAGGACATTTGGGCTTCTCTACTGAGTGTACCCACTTGTGCATATGTAAGTTGGATCTGTGCCCAAAACTCTTTTCATAGGGTGGACATTTGTAGAGCTTCTCTCCTTTGTGGTCCAGCTGGTGTTCATTTAAGGTGGACCTGCTGCTGAACCTCTTGTCACAGAAAGGACTCGCATGTGGTTTCTCTCCCGTGTGGATTTTCTCATGGTGGCGTAAACCAGTAAAGTCCCTGAAGCCTTTTCCACAGCGATCACACTTGCAATGCTTCTCCCCTGTGTGGATTCTCTGATGCTTCACAAAGTCTGATCTCTTCAGAAAGGCTTTCTTGCAAGTAGGACACTGAAAATGCATCTTTCCAGTATGAGTTCTCTGGTGAAACACAGGATCAGAATTTCTACAGAAGGTTTTCCCACACTGTCTGTAGGTGAGGAGCTTCTGGATCATCCGAGGTCTCAATTGGTCCTTCTGGGGGGCCTTTTGCTTCTGCTTGAAAAAGAGCCCAGACAGACTTCTTGGCAAAGAATCATACAAATACTGGTAGAATTGTTTCCCAGAAACCTTCTTTTGGGGAGAGAGCAGCTCCTGTCTCTCCTCCTCTTGGAGTTGTCCCTGTGCCTTAGGAAAAGAAGTTCCTTCTGCAAAACATCTTTGTTCATTCTCACTGAAGAAGTCAATCAAAGAACCCTTGGGGGGGCTCCTCTGAGATGTGACAAGGGGCATTTGGAGGCTCCTGGTCCCAACAGGTTTCCAAGCTGAGGTTCTCTTGGACATTTGCTTGTCTGTCTCCCGAGATGATGCTTGGAGAAGTGGGCCTCCTGAGTCCTGGTCGCTGATGAGCCTTTCCTCCAGTAGGGCAAGATACTGGGGAGCAGTAATCACTAATTCCAGCTCAGTGTCTGCTTCCTCTTTGATGATGTGGCTCAGTTGCTCCTCGGACCCTAAGGCTGAATTGTGAAGTCCCAGCTCCTCAGACACCACATCAAAACTGGTCTCTTCCTCTGTCACTTGGCAGCTTGCAGATTCCACCTCCTCAGGTGAGATTTCCTGTCCCAGAACCTGACTGCTTATCCATTGCCACAGTCTTTGGGGTTCTCCCTTCAAGCTCTCCACCAGCATCACGGCCTCCTCTCCACTGCGGGAACACTGTGTGCGCACCCACATCTGGATCTCCCCAGGCAGGATGCTCAGGAACTGCTCCAACATGAGGAGCTCCAGAATCTGCTCTTTGCTAAGAACCTCTGGCTGCAGCCACTGGAAACAGAGCTTGCAAAGTTGCCTCAGAGTTTCTTGGGGCCCAGAAAGGACCTGGTACTGAAAGCATCTGAAAAGCTGCCGGGCTGCTTCAGGGCTGTAGAGTTCCCCTTGAGGGGCAGCAGCTGCTCCAGGGAGTAAGGGATCCTCTACCTTTGCCAGTGGTAGCACATGGACCAGGGCCTTTCCAAGCATCACTGGGTTGTCAGATTCTTTCACTTCAGCAAAATCCTTTTGGAGGGAATGGTGCTCTGGAGAGAACCAGGTCTTCACACAGCCTCCTGCAGAGACACTTTTTATGTTTTGAGGAGAATTATCTGGAAATTTTAAAACCATTCCCACAATGAACAAGTAGATCTCTACCACAGCAGCCAAGGCAAATTTATTATTTTTTTTTAAAAAAAAGGATTCTTCTCCAGCACTACAACTCAAAGGCATTGATTCCTTTTCCATCATTCTTAGTCATTGTCCAGCTCTCTGATGCATACCAAATAATTGTAAAGACCATGGTCTGGATCAGACACACCTTAGTCTCTAGACTGACACTGTTAAATTTCAGTACTCTGGAGAGGTCTCTGACAGGAGATTTCCCCAGTGCAATTTGTCTTTTTATTTCCTGACTGCTGGTGCTTAGGATGTTGATTGTGGAGCTGAGCAAGCTATAACTATTAACAACCTCAATCTCCTCTCCATCCATCCATCATGGTGCTACCAGTTGGCCCAGTGGTGAGAATCTTTGTCTTCTTCATGTTGAGCTTCAATCCATATTGAAGACTACAGTCCTTGACTTTCTGAAAGTAAGTGCTTCAAGTTCTCCTCAGTTTCAGCAAGCAAGGTGTGTCTTCTGCATAACATAGGTTATTGATGAGTCTTCCTCCAATCCTGATGTCAAATTCCTTGTCATAAAGTCCAGCCTCCCAAATGGTCTGTTCTGCATATAGAGTGAAAAGGTATAACAATGTACTGTAACTGGTTGCTACCAAGTTGACTTTACTGATGGCAACCTTGTGCATGCTGTGTGTGATCCTGAATGCATTCTGATTCACAGCATCCCTATAGATCAGAAGAGAATGGGCCCATAAGATTTCTCAGACTTTTTGAGAAAGCGCCAATAAAGATACCATTTGACCCAGCAATTCCACTACTGGGAATATACCCTAAAGAGACCATAAATGACATCCAAGTAGATATATGTATACCCATGTTTAT